CTGGAGACACCGCGGTCTTTGGGGGGCTCTTCCAGCTTTCCGTTAAAGGGGCCTGAGACTATTCGGGCCTCTTCCCAGGGGACAAGAATCTGTAGAGGTCTTGAGCTCTTGGGCGATCAAGGACTTAGCCCAAAAGCAGGGAGAAGCGCCCGAAGAAGTTTCCTGTTGCAGGTGGAAAAACCTCCTTCTGCTTCCCCGAAGCCACGCAAACCCCAGACTACCGCAAAATTCTCCTACCTCAGGTCCGCGTTCTCTTTCCTACCTGTGCCGGGATTGTCGGGATCCCCGGAGCCATCTTCAGACCCGAAGGACCAAAAGCCGGAGCCCGGGGATGCCATCGGCGTTGGAGACTGGAGCAGGTCGCCTGCGAGTGCAAGCTGCCGGCGAGCTGCCTTGGACTTGGCCCTGCGCGCGCGTGCGTGCCGGTGTGTCGGGAGGAGGGCACCGCGCGGGGACCCGCGGGGCCGCGCGGCGAGGGCGGGTGTCACGCCGGGATAGAAAACGCGCGTGTCTGAGTGTGCGTGTGTGTGTGCGCGAGCTGGAGACAGGGTTTAGGGACGCGGCAACGCTTTGGAAGCCGCGGAGCCTTAAAAAGGACGGGGAGGACCTGAGGGTCTTCGGAGCCCGGACTCAGGAAAGCGTCGAGAGCCCGAGAGCATTTGAGGGAGAGGGAGCCCAGTGGGGATGAATGAGGGGGCGGCGGAGGAAAAACCAGGAGAGAGGGAGGGAGCTGAGTCGTGAGGTTGCGAGGCAGACCGTGCACGCCAACTGGAGTCAGAGTGCGAGGGTGGGAGGCGTGCCAACGCCTCCAGGGGCGAGCCAGAGGCGGGAAGTGCCGGAGGCCGCTGTCCCGGGTGCTGCCACAGCCGCTGCGCGTCGGCCTCAGCGAGAGGCGACTGGGGACACCTCGGCGAGGCGGGACGTGGCTCAGAGTAGTTTTCTTTATGCACAGACAGGGGTGTTGTTTGAGGTCTAACTCCAGCTGGGGGAAAGAAAGCGGTGTTCCGTCGCCGCCTTCCTCCTAGCTGGTGCTGAGGTCGCTGCAACCTCGAGAGATCGCGCCGCTGGGCCGGCATCAAGCGCCTTTCACGAGCCTGGGGAGAAGACGGCGGGTGAAGGGCTCCTACCCGTTGATGGGCTCATTTTAGCGCCTTAGTAGAGCCTGACGCCTGCCTGCTGAACCGCGCGGTCCCCCGGGGCGCACCGTTCTGCGCAGCCAAGGGCTAGATCGCAGGACCCACCGTCCAGGCTCTGAGTGACGGCTGGGGAGGATGACTGCTGATTGAGGCAATTAAAATCCACGCTGGAGTCTTCCGAGGACCTTGGGCTGGGGAAAACAAATAAAACCAATAAAAACTTCTTGGAAGGGAACGAGGCAGACAGAGCGGCCAGAGTCGGCAGCATTGACGGCGGGTGGGGGATGGGATCAGGTCATTTGGTGACCTTGGCACGCAGAGGCGTGGAAGGGCCCGCTGCTTGCCAGTAAGAGGAATCTGTGTGAGCCTGGGAGGGGAGAACAGGGTTTCCAACTAAGCAATCTCAGCTTTCTAAATCCGAGTAGGAAAGAAGGCATCGCCCGCAGGGCCCTCGTTTTAAGAGGACTCAAACCAACGGCATCCCCCCACCCTGGCCCCCAGCGAATCTTCGCGGTAGCGGGTGACCCGGGAGCGCGAGATTGGCTCTCTCTGCCTAGTAAGAAGGGTTTTCTCTTTTTCTAATAAAGAAAGGAGAAGAAATAATCTTTCTGATGATTTCCTTTCTACAAAAAGCTGTTCCAAACAGGGAGGACGCCCTGAGGACTGGGAGCCCTTTGACAGTTTGCGCTGCGTTCTCCTGGCAGTCGAGATCAACTTCAAGTGCACCTCGCAACTCCGGGGCTCTGGCAGAGAGGGAGGGAGAGAGGGGAAAGGGCTGCGGTCGGCTTCCCGAGGCGGCTGCCTTCCCCGCGCCTGCCAGAGCGCCTGTCATTTCCATTGTGTTCACAAGCCGTTTTCTTTCTCTGAACTCCTGAACCAGTCACCAAAGCTGCTACCAAAGCAGAGACCCGGGGATCCCGTCTGGGAGACCACCCCTCGACCCTCACTTAGAAGGGACATCCTGGGGCCCATGCTGGACGCATACGGGCCCAAGTCCTGTGTCCTGGAGCACAAATGTCCCTGGTCAATTTTCTCCACAGAGCGCTGTCTTCTCGCTGCCTGAGTCCAGGGCTTCCCGAGGAGTCATGGGATCCACACTATGGCAGCTGGGCCCAGGCACCGGGGTGAGAGCTGGGAACCAGTCAGGCGTTGATAGCGTCCTGCCGAAGGCTGGTGCTGAGCGGGCTAGGTGGAGGAGTCTGGATCAGGCTATGGGAGCCTGGGTGGTCAAAAACTCAGTTTGGCTCCTCTTTCTGGCTCTCCTGGCGCTGACACTCCAGGTGACCAAGGTAACAACTCTGGAAACACAAAGACTTGTGGTTCAGCCATCTGTACTTCAGGCATCGCAGCCCCGCAGCTCTCTCCAGCCTCGCAGAGACTGGTTCTTTGTTTAAATGCCTATCAAATCCTGCAAAGGTTTTGCTCCAAGCCAGCAGGCTAGGATTGCAGAACTTTTCTACTGTAAATGAGTGGTTGAAAACATAATGGTTCTTAAAAACAAGTATTTAAAACACAAAACCCCCAAAGAAGAAATGGATTAAAACACCTGAATTTAACTGATTATTTTCTTCTTTTTGGTAAAGCAATGGCTTCAAGTGTTACTGTTTTAACTCCATGAAATCCCACAGATCTGGAGTACTTTGGATCTAATGGTGGTATTTATATTTTTTATTTAAACGCACCCAGCTTCGGATGCAGACGGGGACCGGATTTGTCTTTCCTGAAGGCTGTCCCTCCCTTGATGGCAATTTGCTTTGTAATGACCTTCATTTCACAAAAGAGCCCATTCCCGGTCTTCAGGGCTTGGGGTTGGAGATAACAAAAGAGCTCTGGGAGGTAATAATTACAGTCATTAGTTCACAAAGGAGGCATCCAGTGAATGGGAAGGGAGGGCGGGCCAGGGGCGGGGCGGTGTGTGTGGTGGGGGCAAGCTTTCGAAGACCCTTCCTTGAATCAGGGGAGAGAGACCCAATCCTCCAACTCCTAGAGACTGTTTCCTTAGATGTCTGTGGTTTCCTAAGACAGCGGTCTCAGGCTGACCCAAAGAAGAGTGTCTTGTACATAGTTTCCTGTGTCCTTCCAGTGCTTAAATGTCAAAAGACAGAGAAAGAAGGGAAAATGGAATGAAAAAGGAGAGGAAACAAAAAACCACAGAAGAAATAGAAAACAAACGCATTGCAAACAAGCATTCACCAAGCCTTTGCCATTCTCTTTTCTGTTCTCACTGAAAACATTGGTGCCGGGAAAATTTAGGGAGGGAGTCTATTGCTTCCTTACCTAAATTCTTCCTATAGCAACAGAAGTTATAGAAGGGCCTGAATGCCAGGGCTCTGGTCTTCAGGGGCCACTCCAGAAGGAAGCCTGGATTGAAGGGGGACAGGCAGAAAAGCTGAGCTCAGCTTACCACTCTCTACCTCCTGCCCCTGCTCTGCCCTCCCCACAAACCCAGGCCTTCTGGAGTCAGGTAGATAGGTGGCTAGAGGTGGAAGGGGGCCGGACCACTTTGGGTTATAGACACCCCTGTCCCTCCCAGCCTCTCTGTCTTGTGACCTGCTGTGCTGATTTCTTGGGTGCTGCGCCATAGGCAGCTACTCAATACATTTGCACAGCTGAGGGTCACTCCTTACTTTCAGTCCCAACCCCAGCAAGACTGTGCTGCTAAGCTAGGGAAAAAGAAGGCCTGGAGTGCACTTGGACTCTTCCCTTCCATAGCTGCAGGTTTCCCCTTGGCCAGATTGCAACCGTAAAATGAAGAGATTGCACGAGTTGTCTCTGGGGACGTTTTGGTGCCAACTTTTTAAGTTGGAGAGATTACTATGCCCTGTGGACCAGCGGTGCAACATTCTGAGCCCCTTGCACATGCCCTCACTCACTCCTCTAATATTTCCCCAGAGTGTTTTGACTCTGGCCTGTGGATGCAGAAGCCAAGGGCACCCACACAAGGGGTAAGCCCAGTGCTGGGCAGAACCCTTCTTCTGATTCCATGCAACTTCATGACCTGTCCTTACCCTCTCCAGGTCGCTTAGATGGGAGTGTCAGTTTCATAAAACAGCTTAAACCGGTTTTAGAATAAGGGTAGTCAATCCAGGAATGCAAACTTCCTTCCACCCACTAGTCTCCATCATTTTAAATACACACAAAGTCGGAGTAGTGAAGATGGCCCCAAATCTGCAGACTAGGAGAACCTGAAATCCGACAGTTGCATCCAGTGGGGGCACCAGCATCTTTACAGATGAGGCCAAAGACAGTTACACAGATTGGGAAGGCAGCGTGCACATGGGCACGTGTGGTGTGTTGGGATTTAGAGATTGGAGGCCGCCCCGTTTGTGCAGCAAGGAGTTCTCGCTTAGATTGTGTTTTTCTGAAGTGGCTGGGTGGTGCTGAGTATGGCACTGATGAAGGCATCTCAACGCCCCTCCTCGGGCACGGTCACCAGCGCAGCCTTATGGCAGAAGCCCCAGAGGGGAAAATAAGAGATCAGTTATGCAAACCACGGGCTTTCCAAGGCACTTCCTTTATTTAGTAACCTTAATAACCAAAGAAAGAGAAAGAGCCAAGTTTGAGATGAAGTTCATCTTCGCAATTCTCCCTACCCCTCCCGGGCTTTTATCTTTACGATTCAACAGCTATCGAGTGTTCTATGGGCTAGTGAAAGCCGTTTCCAAGAAAAAAGGAATCTGTGAAGTCACCCCAAATGAGAGAGGGGCTGGCGAAATCCCAAGCGCCCTGGAATCCACAGAAGGAATCACACATTTAAAAAAAAAAAAAAAAAAAAAAAGAACAAAGAGATAGATTAGGGGAACAAGGACAGGGATGCCCCAACTGGCGGGCTGATGAGAAAGGAGGGTGCGGGAGTTCGGAGAGAAGGCGTCAGAGGAGGTTTCCCGAGGGCTCCCAGGTCTCTTCTTCCGGAGCACGGGAAGGCTGGTCCGGGCACTCAAGGGCCAAGCGCGGCAGGCAGATCCTGTGGAGATCAGGGCCGCAGCTTCAGTGCCTGCTGGTGCCAGCACCACAGTGCCCGCTTGGCCCCTGCTGCCCCGCAGGCTCCAGCGGCTTCCGACGGCGGTGTCTACCTCGCGCGGCTAGGACTGCTGGACAAGGCGCCTGCGCTGGGACGTTTTGCGCAGGAGCCTCCTGAAGTCGAAGGGGTTGGCTGCTGGCCCTCTGTCCTCCACCTCTTCTTCCTTCTCCTCCTTCTCCTCCTTTTCCTCAGGGCTCTCCACCGCCCAGCACCTGCAAGCGAAATCCGTGGTCCGGGTGTCAACCGCGCAGCAGTGGGCAGGGCATCCCCACCTACCCCGAATTAGGCGGGTCCTCATCCCCTCACTTTCTGCCAACTGTGGGCATTTAAGAAAGCCACAATCGAAATGACTGGGTAATGGCCAAACTTATCTGCGATAACTCTCAGCAGGTTTTCAAAACTCCTTTGAGCTGAGGAGCAGAGGGGCTGGCTGGTGGAGCCTGGTTTAGATATGTGCTAAGTAAAGCGTCAGAAGGTGCAGTTTTGGAAAGGTGAGTTTCATTTGAATTGCAGTAATTCACAACCAATAAACAAATATTTATTTTAATACTTTAATTTTAACATACTTTGGTCAAACAGAAAAAACCTCAAAGTGATGAAATAGACACCCAATATTTTCCATTTTAAAACTGCTCAGATGTTTCTTTAAAAAAATGCTCCCTCAAAATCTGATGAACTGCTGTTAGTGACACCAGAGCTATGATCCCTGTTGGCTTTTTCAGTGTTTCAATGTTTTCAATGAGCCTGCTGGGCTAAGTTTCTGAATCTATTGTTGGGAATCCCTGCCAATGTTTACCTTTAGATTCTGCAGCTTGTTTGGGAAGTGGAGTATTCTCTAAAAATGCAACTACATAGATTCATTCACTCCTCATTCATTCATTCATTCATTCAGGAGAGACCCACAGACAACTTAAAAACACCAGGTGGTGAAAGGTGCTATTCAGAAAAGTAAAGCTGGGTAATGGGGGGAAATGTAGTGAGTGTGTGTGTGTGTGTGTGTGCGCGCGCACGCACACACGCATGCGTGTGTGTGTACAAGCCATTTCATAGGGGGTGGTCAGGAAAGGCCTCTCTGATAAGGTGATATTTGAGGAGGGACCTGAAGGAAGACAGTGAGTAAGCCATGCAGATCTCCTGGGGAAGGACAGTAATTCCAGGATGACAGATCAACTAATGTAAAGGCCCCAAGACAAGAATGTACACTTTGTGTTCAAGGAAAAGCAAGAGGGGGAAATAGCAAGAGATGAAAGCAGGAGGAATGAGGAGTGTTGAGACCACATCAAGGACTTGACTTCTACTTAGAGTGAGAGAAACATTGAAAGGTTCTGTGCAGAGGAATAACTCGTAACAGGATCTGTCTGCCAGGATGAAAGTAGGAAGACCTGTTAAGAGATTCTGTAATAGTCCAACCAAGATTGATAGTGCCTTACACTAGGTTTGTGGAGGAGGAGGTGAGAACTGGCCAGATCCTGGTCATACTTGGAAGGAGAACTGAAAGGGTTGGCTCACTGATGGCTACTTATTTTATTTTTTATTATTGAATGTGGGGCATGAAAGAGAAGAACCAAGAATGTCCCTGAGGTTTCTGACTTAAACAACTGGAAGGGTAGAATTGTCATTTAATGAGACAGGGAAGGCTGCAGAGAAGAATACTTTTTGCAGTGAGCTAAAAATTTTAGTTTTGGTTATGCTAAGTTTGAGATATTTATTAGATATTCAAGAGGATATCAAATACATGAGTCATGATCTAGGCTAGAGAGTTCAGTTCATGAATTTTAAGTATAAAGACAGTATTTTTTCGCTTTCTTTTTTTTCTTTCTCTCTCTCTCTTTCTTCCTTTCTTCTCTTTTTCTTTCTTTTTTATTTTTTTTTTGACAGGGTCTCACTCTGTCACCCAGGCTGAAGTGCAGTGGTATAACAGCCTCAATCTCCAAAGCCCAAGTGATCCTCCTGCCTTAGCTTCCTGAGTAGCTGGAACTACAGGCATGCACCACGATGCCTGGCTACTTTTTTTGTTTTTATGTTTTTGTAGAGACAGGGTCCCACTAATGTTGCCAGGCTGATCTTGAACTCCTGGGCTCAAGTGATCCCTCTGCCTCAGCCTTCTAAAGTGCTGGGATTACAGGCATGACCCACAGTGCCAGGCCAGGAATTTTAAGTACAGATAATATTTAAGTTCATGAGAGTGCCTGTTGATAAAACAAAGGACTGGGATACTCCATTACTGAGAGACTGGTGAAATGAGAAAAGTCAGCAGAGGGAGGAAGAAAGAGCAGACAGTAAGACAAGAGGCAAACCAAGATAAGTGCTGCCCTGAAGGCCAATGAATGAAGTACTTAAGGA